ATACAGCTCATGGAGTATACCGATGTACTGAGTTTGAACGCCCTGTTTGGCTAGGGCTACGATGACCACTTCAGTCTCAACAGATTCAAAGGCCTTCTTTAAATGGATGAACATTAAACAGAGTGGCATCTTGAACTCTCAAAAACCTCAATGAGCTTGTTCACTGTGTGGATATGGTCGATCATGCTGAATCCTTTTCAGAACCCAGCTTGCTCACATGGTTGTCCTTCATCTAGTGTTCTGGAATTCTATTCAGTATGAGTGAACAACTTGTAGACAATGAACAACAGGCAGATCGGGCAGTAGTTGCCGATGTCATGGATATCTCCCTTCTTGTAAAACAGAATGGTCCTGCTGGTTTTCCATTGGGATGGAACTTTGCATTCATTCAGATAGGTAGCATGCGAAGAGCCGAGCCAGTGTACTGATAAACACTGGTGGCAAATTCTTCAGGTGTTTGGGTCTGATCTTGTCTTTACCGGTTGCTGTCTGTTTCTTTAGTGATAAAATGATGTGTTGAATTTCCGAAGGGAGAACGTTGGGAACGACATATCTGTCCTGCGGAATTTAGTACGTGAGCAGTTGGACGTGGCTATTGACGAGATCTGAGTAGAAGTCGCGGATAATCTTCTCCATTGCTCCTCTGGAAGATGTGATGTCGGAGGGCAGTTGTCTTGGCCTTATAGTTGGCGAAGGACAGGCGGGCATTGAGAACACATTTCCTGGTTTCTGCCACATCGGCCAACACTACTACTCTTCTCTCTTTGAGGTCTTCCTTTATCGCTTCTCAGCATAGCTTTGTCAGCTCAGATGTTAGCTTGTGATTGCCTGAGGCTCGCACAAAACCACATCGGCAAATGATTTGAGAGTTTCCGAAGACAGGTGTCTGTTTGTGGCTTTCTCACCCTTGACATTCCTTGAACAGTCATGGAGGTGCAAAACCAGTCAATCATGTTCCTTGTCTATGTTGTCAATGATGGCATCTTCCCATATTGCCGCAATAGTGCCAAAGAGCTCCCAGTTTGTCGTCGTTCTGAGAATTCTCTTCTTAAACTTTGCAGTCCTTTCTCCCCACTCCTAAAGTAGAATTTTGCACAAAGGAGACAATGGTCTGATACCATTTGGAATTTTTGGACAACAGCATCATCAGTCAGGCAAAACTGTTGATTGAATATGATTTGGTCAATTTTGTTGTGGAACTGTGAGACTCCCATGCCCCACATTTAGATTCGACCTTTTGGAACTGTGAGTTACCATGGATGGTCTTGGTTGAGATGATGAACTCAGACAGTCTCTCACCCTTTTCGTTCCATTCTAGGCTATGGGTTCTGATATGGAATTCTTCGGGCGACCTTCTTGGTCCTATCTTGGCATTAAAATCACTGAAAGAGGAAAATGACCTTGTAGGAGGTGTGGTCTCCTTTATAGAACCTCTCCAGCTCCATGCAGAACTTCTCAATTTCTTCTTCATGGTAGTTGGATGCTGGAGGAAGATAGAAACTGCCAGTAGTGAACCACATCTATTCAAATGTAAGCCTCCAGTTCGGGTTGTTAGACATTCGAATGAATGATGCTCATGGCCAGGTTTGTGTTGACTAGGACACTGACACCACCGACGCCTCTACTGTCATATGTTCCGAGGAACAGTTCTTTCCCATTGTCTAAACTGGTGTGATGTGATCAATGCCTTCTCATCTTGGTCAGTCTAATGATGTCATACTTGATTTGCTCTTCATTATCAGGTCCTTGATCAATGCTTCCAATGCCAGTGTACATGTGTTGAAAGTACAGATCATTATTTTTTGCTTTTTGTGTAACACCCAGTGATGCACCGGGGTTACTCATGGCTTTGCACTCAGGAGTTACTCCTGGCGGTGCTCAGGGGACCATATGGGATGCTGGGAATCGAACCCGGGTCGGCTGTGTGCAAGGCAAATGCCCTACCCGCTGTGCTATCACTCCAGCCCCAAAAGTACAGACATTCATTTTAATCCTTCTTCGTTTTAGCAGCCTAGTTCAGCTCTGAGATTTTATCAGCCCCTCCTTGCTCATCTTTCCCAATGCTGCTGTATTGGGGGCTCTTTCAGAGTCAGGGGAATGAGACCCATTATTGTTACTGTTTTGGGCATATAGAATACACCATGCGTAGCTTGCCAGGCTCTGTTGTGCGGGCAGGTTACCCTTGGTAGCCTGCCGGGCTCTCTGAGAGGGATGAAGGCTTTTAGTGCAACCTCTAATCGCCCTTACAGGTGCTCCCAGTCTACTGAATGCAAGCTTTTGGTCGAGTGATATGTTGTAATGATCTGCACGCTGACAAACACACACCGGCCTGTGTCTCTGGGCAGCACCGGTTGGTTCATTTTTTGCTGGTTGGCACCGTTGCCACCCCACATCTCTATGAGGTGGTGAACCTTCAATGAGAGAATTCTATCAATATTAGATAGATTAGTTGTGAGATCTTAAATATGTCTTCTTCAGGTCACTAGTAAAATCTTTGAAATCTAGAAAGAATTTTAGTATACCAAGTCAGAAGGAAAAGAAGTTTCAGGTTGAGATAAAGAACATAAGAGAATACATGCCTGGATGCCCTGTCTCACTTAGGATGTCTATATGATACAGAGCTTGCTTCTTATAGCTATATTTTTATGTTATGCAGATTTAAAGACTTGCAATGTCACTTATTTATTGTTTTTGTTTTGTCCTTCTTTGGTAGATTATCATGACCAGACTCTGTTAAAAAAAGACTCACTTTTTTATAATTTAGGAGTACTGCTATTTATTCATACTATTTATTTATACTGCTATTGATTAAACTGATTGAATTGGGCATGAACTCCCCATTACTTTTTAAATTCATAATGTTAATTTTATTTTGTTATTATTATTATTATTTCCCCCTTTTATTGATTCATCATGAGATACAATTACAAAGCTTTCATATTTGAGCTTCAGTCATACAATCATCAAACACCCATCCAGTCACCAGTGCACATTTTCCACCACCAAAATCCCAAGTATTTCTCCCCGACCCCGTTACAACACTTGCCCTACCTGTTTGGCAGACAATTTTCCCCAAACTCTTTCCCTACTTTGGTCAGATTTGACATTTCGACACCAGTAAAACCACCACTCAAACCTGCCACAAAGGCAATTCTAGACAATTTTTTATTATTGCTTTTTATGGAGAGAATATAATGTCCAGGAAATTCTGTGTCGTTCTCTTCCAGGAGCTTTAGTTTATAGTCTCTGGGTCTTGGCCGTTTATAAGATTACATAACGCCTGAGGCAGTTTTTGGGTGTGACTGCCAAGCTACTGGAAAACAGGGGACCTATGGTGAGGAGGCTCCGTTCCAATTCAAGCGGGCTTGGACATCTCAGTCACGAGTTCCGGCTTACCTACTCACCACCAGCCCTAACTGCGTCTTTTGGTCTCTTTTGATATTTATGGCTCTCTGAAATAAGGCCAATAATGAACTTATATAGCTAAGCCGGAGGTTGTTTGTGGGTGTGGCTCCCACATACCTAACTTTTGGCCATTTAATTTCTTGGTAAACTGGGTCAGTTGGGGTCTGGCTGTAGGCACAGCAGCAATTTTGGGGTATCTGAAAGTCTGAAGGCACCATCAGACTGCTGATGCACTAGCCCCAGAGGTACAGGTTGAATTGCTTGCAGCACCATACCCCTACAGACTCACTTTTAAATATATAGATGTCTCCCAAGGTATTTTTGAGAATTCTGAAACTCATAACAGGGAAGCCACCCTTCATTTTTGACAGTACTGAACTTGTACTCTTGGCATGATAAAAGGAAACCTCTCTAAAGAGGTTTGTGTAATATTGGTGAACTCTTTAACACTGACATCTTTCTTATAAAATTTATGCTATGGATATCCAATACATCATATCCTATCTGTATCCACAACCACTCAAATATCCAAAACCATTATGCAAGGAAAAATAACAATTGTCCAAAGCAATTCAGTATTTTAAGTCTGGAATTCAAGATTGATAGAGTTGCGTTGAAGATAATTAAAGTCAGAATTCCCCAACATTACCTTAAAAGCCCATTTTTTATTAGCTAGTACTTTTTCTTTTTTATTTTTATTGTTTTTAAATTTTTATTAGTGAATCACCGTGAGGTACAGTTACAGACTCACAAACTTTCATGCTTACCTTTCAGGCATACGATGGTCAAGTACGCATCTCTCCACCAGTGCCCATTTTCCACCACCAATGGCCCCAGCATCCCTCCCACCACCCCCACCCCATCCCGTTCACCACACCCCACCTCTATGGTAGGGCATTCCCTTTTGCTCTCTCTCTCTCTCTCTTTTTGGTGTTGTGGTTTTCAGCAGAGGTACTAAGTGGCCATCATGTTCAGTCTATATTCTACTTTCAGCCCGCATCTCCCATCCTGAGTAGGACCTCCTAGCACCCTTTACTTAGTGCCCCCTTCTCTATCTGAGCTGCCTTTTCCCCCAGCACGCGATGCCATAAAAACCCAGTTTTGCATGTTATTGGAAGAGTTAAGATCACAAACGCGGGTTGTCAAAGAAAAATAATCCCTTGCAGGTAGCCTGCAGCTGAGAAGAGCATTATTTCAAGTAATTTAGTACAAGGGAAATAATTGATATTGTCAGTAATTAATCAATCCATATCATACTTCTGAAAGGCATATAATATTTCAGATAAAGAAACTTTTATGCTATAAGTACTTGTGTGTTTATTTCCTCCAATTTCCTATGTGCAAACAAACTCAAAAATTATTATTGACTACTGGAACAGTCTGTATATAAGGCAGTGATATTCTTCCAGAGCATTTACATAATGAGCTAGTTTGTGTTATACTACTAAGGTAATTTGACTAATTGTAGACCAAATCAACCCATATTGGTGTTTCCAAACACTGATAATGTTATTTCCTGCTGGGACCATGTCTCAGCTTTCATAGAACTTATGCCTAATATACCAACAATTAAAAACCTCTTCCTTCCCACATAGGACCTGATCCGGAGAGACATTTTATACTATAAAGGGCGTATTGATATGGATAAATATGAAGTAATTGATATTGAAGATGGTAGAGATGATGACTTTAATGTCAGCATGAAGAATGCCTTCAAACTTCACAACAAGGAAACAGAGGAGATGCATTTGTTCTTTGCCAAGAAGCTAGAGGAAAAGATACGCTGGCTCAGAGCTTTCAGAGAAGAAAGGAAAATGGTACAGGAAGATGAAAAAATTGGTAAGTGACCATAAAGAAGACAAAATTCATAGAGGATTTAAACTATTTTTCATTTTGTAGAGGCAGAGTGAATATTTGTGTTGCAAAATAAACTGTCACTTTCCTTGTTCCTTATTTTCAGGTTTTTATAGGTCCCTGGGCTGGAGCGATAGCACAGCGGTAGGGAGTTTGCCTTACAAGCGGCCAACGTGGCCGACCCGAGTTTGATTCCTCCGCCCCTCTCGAAGAGCCTGGCAAGCTACCTGTGATGTACTTGATATGCCAAACACAGTAACAACAAGTCTCACGATGGAGATGTTACTGGGCCCGCTCGAGCAAATCGATGAACAACGGGAGGACCGTGACCATGATAGGTCCCTAGTTTTAGGTTTTTTTTGTTAGCACTGTAGCACAGTCACACTGCACTCCTGTTGTTAATAGATTTTCTTGAGTGGGCCCAGAAATGTCTCCATTGTGGCAGTTGTTACTGTGTTTGGCATATTGAATACGTTGGGTAGCTTGCCAGGCTTTGCCATGAGGCAAGATACTCTCAGTAACTTGCTGGGCTCTCTGAGACGGCGGAGGAATCGAACTCAGCTCGGCTGCTCTGGCCACATGCAAGGCAAACACCCTACCACTGTGCTATTGCTCCAGCCCCTTTTTTATAGAAAATATTAATTTGCATTAGTTATTATTAAATAAGCGTTGTTTGCAGCCCCTATTATCTGTAGCAAGATAAGAGTAGCACTGTAGGAGTGAAGACCTATTGTTTATGAATTTACTCCAGCAGGCAACAGTAATATCTCCATACCTCCCTGTCGTGTGTTAGTGTAGCCCAATGGCATCTGCTCGCTCCAGGAACACAAAGTGAGACTTGTTGTTATTGTTTTTGCCATATCAAATACGCCACGGGTAGCTTGCAGGCTCTGCCGAGTGGGCGGGATACTCTCGATAACTTGCTGGGCTCTCCGAGAGGGACGGAAGATGATATTGAAAAAAAAACTATTATACTTTATTTTCAAAACATATAGCAAAGTTCAAAGTCACTAAAACAGTATGTCTTTTTGTAATCTCAATAAACTCAGAGCTCTGTTCTTAGATATATGCCATGTTTATGACATATTCCTAAGTAAATGAATTGATTAAGTTATAGCTACCTTTTCCTCTTACCCTCTCACTTCCCTGCTCTTTGATCACCCTAATTTTCACAGAGTCATATAGTTATTTTTGTTATTATTAGTTTGTTCAGTTTTTGCTTGTTTATATTTCACATGAGAGAACCATGTAGTAACTATCTCTCATATTCTGACTTACTTTAATTAGCATAATCACCTCAGAGTTCAATCATGTTGTAGCATAAGGTGGGAGTTTTGTTGTTGTTTATATGTTTTGGGGCTACAACCAGTGTTTTTCAAGGCTTACTCCTGGTCTGCACTCAGGGATTACTTCTGGGGAGTATATGTGTTTCCAGGGTTCAAATTTGGGTCAGTTGCATGCAAGGCAAGTGCCCTACTTGCTGTACTTTCACTCCTGCTCAAAAGTTTGTATTTTGTTGTTAATTTGCTGACAAACTTGTTGGTATTCAGGAAGACTTCCTAAATCTATGCCCAGGTTGTGCTAGAGGAGCATAGTCATACTAGAGATTGTACTAGAGCTGTCCACATGTAAGACAAGCTCAACAACCATAAAATATCTCCTGCCCCAAAAGCGTGTTTTTAAAAAATAGTTAGATATTATTCCAAAAATTACTTATGCCTGTATGTTACATATTATTTATCCAGTCAACTATAAGTAGAAATTTAGGTTGTTTCTATGTCCTAGATATTTTAAAGAATGCTGCCATGAACAAAGGATGCATATACTAATTTAAATTATTGTTTTATATTACTCAGATAACACACAGGGGTGCTATTTTTGGATTATAGGATATGTATTGATGTATACCAGATATATGCATGTTTAGTTTTCTTTTTTTAATTTAAACTTTGAGTTAATGTGATTTACAATTATATTAATAAAGGTTTATTATGCACATAATTCCAGTAACATACCTATCACCAGTGTACTTCTTCCCTATCACAAGGACCCTAAAACTTCCCAACATACCACCCACATCTCAATTGTGTGGATGAGTCCTCCCATTATGTTGCTTTGAGACCTTTGTTGCTAACTTGTTATGAATCTTTAAATTCCACTTATGAGAGACATAATTCTGCATCTTTCCATTTCCTTCTAACTTCAATCAGCATGTATCCTCTAATTCCATCCATGATGCATGATTCCAATCTTTTTACAGCTCCATAGCATTCTATTGTGTACATATACCAAAATTTCATAATCCATTCATCTGTAGTTGGGCATTTATGTTGTTTTCATATCTTGGTTTCAGTAAGTGTGGTAATTAACAGAAAGGTGCATATATGTCCTTTTGGATTAATGTTGTTTTGTGTTTTGGGACATATGACAAGATGTAGTATTGCATATAGATCATATGGGAGTCTCTCCTGATATTTTGGATAGATCTCTATATTGCTTTGCATAAATGTTAAACCAGTTTACTTTCCCACTAACAGTGGAAAGAGGTTCCTTTCTCACCACAACTACATCAACATTGGCTATTTATAGACATTTGGGTATGTGCCATTCTCTCAGATTTGAGATGGAGCGATAGCACAGCGGGTAGGGCGTTCGCCTTACATGCGGCCAACATGGCTGACCTGAGTTCGATTTCTCCGCCCCTCTCGGAGAGCCCGGCAAGCTACCGAGAGTACTCGATATGCCAGACACAGTAACAACAAAGTCTCCAATGGAGACGTTACTGGGCCCGCTCGAGCAAATCGACGATCAACGGGAGGGCCTTTACCTTTACCTTTACCTTATTGTTGATTTGATTTGAGTGACAACGAGCACTTTTTCATTTGTCCATTGGTCATATGTATATCTTCTATGAGAAGTGTCTTTTCATCTCACACCATATGCAGATAGGCTTGCTGGATTTTAATTTTAAAGATTTGTGAATGCTTTATAGATTTTGGAATTCAACCCTTTATATGAATTGTGCACACATTTAATCCCATTTAGTTGGGTGTCTGTTTGTCAGAGTTCTCATTTCTTTCACTGTGCAAAAATCTTTTAAATTTGATGCAATTCTTTGTTTTCATTTTTGTTGTCTTTGTCTCAATGGTCATCACTTAAGATTTCTCTGGGTCAATTTCCTGAATAGTTCTGCTGATGTTGTCTTCAATGAATTTATGGATTATAGTCAAATCTCAAGATCTTTAATCTACTCTTGTGTAGGTTGTGAGATATGGTCCTAATTTTATTGTTTTACATGTGACTGTCCAGTTTTTCCAGCATCAGTAATTGAAGATATTTCCTTTGTTTACTTCATATATTTAGCTCCTTTGCTTTAGATTATCTGATCCTAAATATGGGAATATAACTCAGGACTCTAAACAATTGGTCTGCTAATCTATTTATCTTTATTCCAGTACTTTTCGGCTTTAATTACTATAGTTTTGAGTATAATTCAGTGTTGGGAAATATAATGCCTCCCATATACTTTTATTTTCTTCGGACTGCTTTGGCTATTCAGGGAGTTTTATCGTTCCATACACATTTTAGGAGGGTTTGTTCCATGTCTGTAAAAAATTATTGGAATTTTCAGAGGCATTGCATTGAATTTGTGCAGTACTTTTCATAAGATGGTCATTTCAACTATGTTAGTTCTTCCAATCTGTGAACATGGAATATCTTTCCATTGCCTGGTATCTCCATTTGTCTTAGCAATGATTTACAGTTTTCACTGTATAAGTCCCTTATTCCCTTATTAGGTTGATTCTCAGGTATCATGACTATGTATTATATTTATATAATTATATATAATAATATATAATTATAATTATAATATATAATTATAAAAAAGTATCAGGTGTTAGGGAGCAATATCTTTAATGAAGAATATCCCGCTTGCACGGGCAAAGCCTGGAAAGCTACCCGTGTCATATTAGATATGCCTAAACCAGTAACTATAATGGGTCTCATTCCCCTGAACCTGAAGGAGCCTCCAATCGTTGGGAAAGACGAGTAAGGAAAGGCTGCTAAAATCTCAGGGCTAGGACAAATAGAGACATTTCTGGCGCCCGCTCGAGTAAATTGACAAACAAAAGGATGATAGTGATACATCGATACAGTGATTTTGAATGAAAAAGTCTTTTTTAAATTCTGTTCTTATGGTTCATTATTTTCTACAGGAATGCCACTGATTTTTGTGTGTTAACTTTTTAACCTGATACCTTACTATGTTTATTGTTTCTATGAAATTGTTTGTGTGGAGTCTTTAGAATTTTCAATATATAGTATATCTTCAAAGAGTGATAATTGTACCTCTTCATTTCAAATTTGGATACCTTTGATATCTTTCTTTTGTCTGGTTGTTGTGGCAGAGACATCCAAACTATGTTGAATAAGAATGGTGACAGTGGATATCTTTGTCTTATGCCTAATTTCAGGGGAAAGATTCTCAGTTTTTTCCTATAATATTGGCTGTGGATATGTTGGATATGGTCATTACTATCTTGAGCAATGTTCCTTCTGTTCCTCTATTTTAGGGGTTTTTAAATAACTAATAGGTGTTGGATCTTGTAGAAAAACTTTTCCTCGTCAATTGATTTGACCTATGTGGTTTTATCTGTTTGTTGATATTGTGTGTTATTTTAATTGATTTGTGTATATTGAGTGAACCACCCGATTTGGTTTTCTAGGATTTAGTTGAGGATCTTTGCACAGATGTACATATGGAATTTTACCTTCTAATTTTCTGTTTTAATGGTGTCTCTGTCTTTGTTAGGTTCAGTATGATATTGGTTTCATAGAAGCTGTTAGGGAGGATTTCTGTTTCCTCAATATTTTGGATAAACTTGAAAGGTAAAAGCACTAGGTCTTCTAGTGAATCCTTCCAGACCTGGCTTTTGAGGTGGGGAGATTTTTAATTTCTGCTTCAATTTCTTTACTCGAGATTG